GTGGCTCTGGGCGTGTCCGCTCCCTTGTAGGAGACTGATCTGTCACTAAGGTTATGCAGTGACACTGACATGTAGAAGAGACGAGGATGCCAGTGATTCGGCATTGCCAGCGTTCACAACACCCTGGCCCCGTGTTCCTCGCTTGCAGGCTGAGCCCGGGCTCTTCCTGTGTTTCTGATGAATCTGGGTGGGGGAGAGGAGAGCTGGATGGATTGGTAGACAGTGCCAGTGCCTAATGAGCTTCATGATTGCTCGGTGAGCACGTGGCTTGCATCTGCTTTCCCACACGGAAGACCAAGCCCAGGCCTTCCCAGCCACGTGCCCTTGGATGGTGGGAGTGACCTCAAGGTGACAGGCATTTCCTTTACTCCTGTGAAGCCCCTTGAAAGGGGAAGGGGCTTTGCCCCCCCGACTTCCAGGCCAGAGGGCAAGTGACTTCTTGGGCAGTGCTGTCTGATGAACTTCCCACAGGAATGCCATGTACTGTCCAGCACAGTAGCACTCACCACAGGTAGCTACTGAGCGCTTGAAATGCCATTCTTGTGAATGAAGAACTGGATTCTTCTTTGTCCTGCTTCTTACTGAATTTGTATTGAGATCCCAGGTGTGGTTACCACGTGGAGCAATCCAGATCCGAGGGCTGGGGAGAATGGGTCAAATGTAATACGTGACAGAGAGCCATGTGTAATCCTTTTTTTTTTTTTTTAAAGATTGATTTATTTATCTGAAAGGCAGAGTTACAGAGAGGCAGAGCAGAGAATGAGAGAGAGAGAGAGAGAGAGAGAGAGAGAGGGAGAGAGAGAGAGAGAGGTCTTCCATCTGCTGATTCACTCCCCAGTTGGCCATAATGGCCAGAGTTGAGCTGATCCGAAGCCAGGAGCTTCTTCCATGTCTCCCACGTGGATGCAGGGGCCCAAGGACTTGGGCCATCTTCTACTGCTTTCCCAGGCTGTGGCAGAGAGCTGGACCAAAAGTGGAGCAGGCAGGACTTGAACCGGCACCCATATGGGATGCTGGCCCTGCAGGTGGCAACTTTACCCTCTATGCCACAGTGCCAGCCCCCGTGTGTAATCCTAATGAGAGGATGCCTTGCTGGAAATGCCTCCTACATGGGGTGGGGCTCTCTATGGCTATGTAAGCCAGAGCCCTTGAGACTGTGTGTGGCTGAGGCTTTGGAACTGTTTGCACGATGTTTGCAGGGAAACCCACGGCTGTGCGGGTTTGAGAATGGCGTCGTTTACTTATTGTTCTTTATTTCCTGTGAGGATAGCAGACATCAGCCTACCCTTGGCCGTGACTTCTTGCACACATTTTCTATATCCGGCTTCCCTTGTTTGATGTCGTAGCCCATCACAGAAACATATTCTGTGTTTCCACACTGAACGCAAAGGACAGTTGGGTAGGAGTGGGGAATCACGGAGGGGAGGCTGTGCAGACCCCTCCACGGGTTGTTTCTTGTGCATTGATCTCTCGCTTGATTCTGCGTGAACAGTCAGCTGAAACTGGCTGTGCTGTTTTGGCCTTATATGGTAGTTATTGAAGCCACCCCGTGCTGTGATGTAGCTGAATAAGTCTGCATTTTCCAGAACATGTATGCAGTATATACACTGAGCCCCTGGGGGGCCAGCCACACCCCTTGGCGGGGGGGAGGCCCTGTGGGTGATCTCCCTGGCCTGGGGCCTCCCCGGCACGCTGTGTTCCTGCTGATGGCTCTCTTTGCAGCTGTTTTGGGTCCCCACAGAGCCTTTCACCACGTAAAGTCTGGCAAACCCTTGAAAGCCACGCTCATTTCTTTGGAGCTACACTTTGGAGCAGCCCTGCCTGCTGCTCTCGTTCATGGATCTAATGGCTCCCCTGCTCCCCCACCGATCTTGCTCGCAGAGGTGATTTCAGATGTCCCCGAAATGAAGAGGTTGGGCACACAGAGCCCGCAGGCAAGAGGAGCAGGTGGTGCTGGCCAGGGAGGTTGGGGCCGAGAGAGCAAAGTCGCACCCCCGTTCCCTGTGGGTTTCCCAGCCTTGGGACTGCCAGAGCACAGGGGTCCACCCCCTGCCCTGCCCTGCCCTGAAGGGGCTTACATGGCCTCTGGTCGGCAGCAGCAGCTGCTCTGGGCCTGTCGGAGGGTCTGTCCTGCTGCATAGAAGGTGGGGTGGAGGGATTTGGTGAGAGAGGGCAAAGCCACAGCAACCCAGCAACATCCAATGAGAGTGCAGTGATGCTGGCCACGCCTGTGCTCATTGGCCCACACGGATCCAGTTCCCAGGGCAAGGCAGCTGTGGCTGTTCTCATAGCCAGAACACATTCCCACCCGAACAGCTCTGCCAACGCCCTGGCCAGCCAGGCCATCACCTTTGCATTTTATTCTCGTTGCTGTCCTTTTCTGCAAGAAGCCATTGCCCCTGGTTCTTAGCTCTTTAGAATTTTCTGAAGGATTATTTCCCCTCCTGCCTCTTGTTAGTATTATAATTTTTTAGGGTGTTGATTCTCATCAGACTAAAGGTGTTAGACTTGCCCCACTACTTAATATTTAGTTTTCTTTCTGTTTTATAAGCCACGTTGTTAGAACAATGTTATAGAAATAGTAATCGGTGCTCAAGAAGTCTTAGCCATGTGCTAGGTGCTACTCTGAGAACTTGATATCAGTTAACTAGTTTAACCCACACACAAGCCCTATGAGGTAGTTGATATCTGCGATTCCATTTAAAATATTTATTTATTTATTGAGAGGCAGAGGGACCAAGAGGGATACACACAGAGAGAAAGACAGACAGACGGCAAGAGTGCCTATCTGCCGGTTCACTCCCTAAATGCCTGCAATGGCTGGCATAGGCCAGAGCAGACGATGGGACTGGAAGCTCAACTTAGGCCCCCTCCCCACATGGGTGGCAGGAACCCAGATACTTAAGCCATCACCCCTGTTAGCAGAAGCAGGAGTTAAGGGCCCAAGCTGGAGATCTAGCCCAAGTACTCGGATGTGGGATGCAATTTAAAAAAATTATTTTGAAAATTGGTTTTAATTAATTATTTATTTATTGGGAAGGCATAGTGACAGAGAGGGAGAGACAGAGAGAAAGAGAGAGAGAGAGAAAGATCATTCGTCAACTGGTTCCCTCCCCAGTGGCCATAATAACCAGGTCTGGGCCAGGCTGAAGCCAGGAACCAGGAACTGCATCCGGGCCTCCCATATGGGTGGCAGGGGCCCAAGTACTAGGGGCGTCTTCCGCTGCCTTTCCAGGCACACTGGCAGGAAGCTGGATCAGAAGTGGAGCACCCAGTGCTCAACAACCTAGCATAGAGGTGTCTTAGGCAGCGGCTTAACTCACTCGGCTACAACACTGGCCCCAGGTGGGTTACCCTCCAGGTGGAACACCTGCCTCTACTATCTTGTTTTTATAGGTGAGGAAACTGGGGCCAGAGAGGTTAAGGAAAGTGCCTGGAGTCACACAGCGCACTGATGGCAGAGCTGGCCTTGGCCCCGGGCTGCTTGGCGCCGGAACCCGTGTTTGTAGCAGAACAAAAATCACCCTGTAGCTGTACTCTCATTAGAACGCTTAAACTCCCTGTTTCTAGATCATCCACATTTGTTAACAGGCAGATGGTCTTTCAGTCCAGATGTGGAAATGGTGTTGAAGAATAGCAAACCTCTCTTCTGTTGGGCAGAACTTGGCAGATGACCCTGAAGCCTTCACATTGCTAAAAACACCCAAGCGAAGGATCAGATCAGAAACTCTGCCCAGGAGCAGGGATCGATCGCTAGGGGCTCATGGGGAGTGGGTTCTGGAACCTTCCTGCCCCTGGGGATACCCTTTGGAGCTGGTCTTCCTGAAAGTAGTGGGTCATATCTCTGTTTCTCCAGCACACACACACACACACGTGCACACACACACAGAGAGTCAGCCTGGCCTGGGAAGTGAAGATGAGGCCAGGTACACCAAGTGGCTCAGCCCAGGTGGCTGCCGGGCGTCCCCATGCACAGCTCTCTCTTGAGCCCCTGCACACCCTGCAGCCATCCCTGTGGCTGAGAGCAATTGGGTGACTCCCAATGGCAAGATGAAATGCGACATTCCCATGCTCTCTTAAATGCTATTTTGACATTTTTAAGATGCCATTCTGAGAGATAGCGAGAAGCCTTCGCTAACAGACGAGACGAGAGGTAACCAAACTCTCCCTTTGGTTGGAAGTTCGGATTTCACCTGGCCTTTCCTGCCCTCTCGCCTGCACTGAATGGCCTTGGTTGCAGGAGTATGGAACCCCACCCACACTGGCTGAGACAATACAAGGGTTTGTCACTCATGGGGAGGTGGTGACCTCGTGGCTTCTTCCAGACCCTATTTTCTCCTCCGTGCTCTGCCCAGTGTGGGGTCAACGTCATCCTAACATAACTTATCCTCACGGTTGCATGGGGCCGCCAGCAATCCCCTAGCCTGAGCGCCCTCAGTGTGCTCCTGGGGAGGGAGAGGGAGGGGCATGCATTTGTTGAAGGAGCCTCTCTTCTCAGAGCCCCCTTGCGGCTCACCTGGTGGGGGACCACGTGCTGTCCTCTCTTGAGTCAGTGACTGGGGCTGGGTGATGCTGGTGCCCACAGCCCTGGGGTGTGCGGACCCTGTGTACAGATGAGGGTAGTCACAAAGTAAAGAGTAGACCTTGGGTAGGAAACAGAACTTTCTCTACTCTTTCTGTAATCTGCCAACACCCTACTGATATTTACAGGTGCCATTTTCTGCTACGAAGTAGATGACTACCATTTTTGAAATACTCCTTTTTACTGCGTTGTCAGATGTTCCTCTCCCCATTCCCCCTCCCCTTCTCCCGTCTGCCCTCCTTGTCCTTCTCTCCTGTGTCCCTTCCTCTCTTGTTCCCCCTCCTCTTCCTCCATCCTCCACTGCCCCCTTCTTTCCTGTCCTGCCCTCTCGATTGATCACGTAGTGTTCTTTCAACTCAGCTAAGCTGGTTTGGTACAGTTTCTCCCTAAGTAAAATGCCTTCATTTTTGCCACCCAGGAAGAAGAAATGCCAGATGTAGAAATTGACATTGACGATCTTCTTGATGCAGACAGTGAGGAAGAGAGAGCTTCAAAATTACAGGTAAGCAGCTTCCAAAATCTAGAAGCTTCTGATCATGGGTGCTTAAATGCACTTGACTCTCCAAGGCCTTGGCCCGAACCAATTCTGCAGCTGTGACAGTGTTGGTTCTGGGACTTGGGCCTTGGCCATTTGCAGAGAGGAAACCAGTGTGGGGCCGTATTAGTCCATTTTCAAGACTATAATGAGGACAGCACCGCAGCTCACTAGACTAATCCTCCACCTAGCGGCGCAGGCACACCGGGTTCTGGTCCTGGTCGAGGCGCCGGATTCTTTCCCAGTTGCCCCTCTTCCAGGCCAGCTCTCTGCTGTGGCCCGGGAAGGCAGTGGAGGATGTCCCAAGTGCTTAGGCCCTGCACCCCATGGGAGACCAGGAGAAGCACCTGGCTCCTGCCTTCAGATCAGCGTGGTATGCTGGCTGCAGTGCGCCAGTCATGGTGACCATTGGAAGGTGAACCAACGGCAAAAGGAAGACCTTTCTCTCTGTCTCTCTCTCTCACTATCCACTCTACCTGTCAAAAAAATAAATAAATAAAAAAGACTACAATGAAATGCCTGAGGGAGGATAGCCTTACAGAGAAAAGAGGTTGATTTAGCCCAGCGCTCTGGAAATTCAAGAGTAAGGCACTGGCCTGACTTGGCTCTGGGGAGGACTCCATGGCAGAGGGCAGGAGCACGTGCAGGAGGGAGAGATCACAGCTTTAAACAGGAAGCCGCAGAGCTGGGCTTTTTGTTTTAAATTAGTTAATTTATTTGAGAGGCAGAGTTACAGAGAGAGGGGGATACAGAGAGAGAGAGAGAGAGAGAGGTCTTCCATCCACTGGTTCACTCCCCAGATGGCTGCAATGGCCAGAGCTGAGCCGATCCGAAGCCAGGACAGAGGAGCTTCCTCCGGGTCTCCCACGTGGGTGCAGGGGCTCAAGGGCTTGGGCCATGTTCCACTGCTTTCCCAGGCCATCGCAGAGAGCTGGATCGGAAGTGGAGCAGCTGGGACTCAAACCGGCAATCAAATGGGATGCCAGGGGCAGAGGCCTAACCTACTGTCCACTGCGCCAGCCCAGAGGCAGAGTTTCAACAATCCCCCTGAGAGCAGTACCCCTTTGTGGCCTAAGGACCTCCCCCTAGGCCCCACCTCATAAAGGTCCCACCTGCCAGCATCGCCACCCCGAGGACGAAGCTTTCACTGCGCAGATCCTTGGCAGACAGGCTCCGACCACATCCAAACCACTGCAGGTGCTTCTCACGGCCATGCACTGCTCTCTGATGGCAAAGCAGCTCTTGTTGCCATTAGCTCTCCAAGCATCTCCTGGCTCTGACAGTCTCCTGCCTCATTTTCTTGGGCGAGCAGTAGTGCCCCATAGTTATCTGGGAAGGAGAGGGCCCGAGCCGGAACTGGGGTCTCCATGCCCAGGGTTCTGGTCTCACAGGTGTGGATTTAATTTCTAGGTAAAATTCTGTGATCAAATATGTCCTCATACACCGTTCTCATCTGCCAGCACCCTGGTGCAGCAATAGAAGCTGTGAATGCTTCGTGTCTCCTTAGCAGACAGCAATAAAATACTTCCCTCCCACAGGTGGACGCATCTATCACTTAAAACTCTGCATCTGGGAGTTTCTTAAAGCAATTAACCTTTGATTGTCATCATTCTTCATGTTCACCAATAATGACTGTTAATGGCTGGCTGGGTAGGACCAGTGGCAAAGGGTCACCGAGCGTTTAAAGGACACTGTTGAATGATTAATGTTTTTAATGTGTTAATAATTACTGCTGTCCCCTGAGTGGTGGCCAGCCTCAATTGTAATGTTTATTTCATATTGGTTGATTTAGATGGGAGACAATAGCAGTCTAGTCCTAAAAGCTAAAAAAAATTTTAAAAAGTAAAGCAGGTACCAATTCTATAGAAAATATACTAATATATACACTTTTTTTTCCCCTAAAAATAGAGACCTTGAAAGGGGCTTTGTACTCAGGTCACTCGCTGGGTTCCCAGTTGAGAGCACTGGGGCCTGTGAAGGCTGTGTTCCAAGCTGGCCTGTGGCTAAATCATGGTCGAACCCCTTGCAGTCTGTGACCAGTGCGATTGTCACCATCTTACCAGCCTATCTCAGCTCTCAGTACGTCCAGCTCCGTATTAACCAAGGAAGGAAAGGAGTGTGTGTGCTCGTGTGTGTGTGTGTGTGTGTGTGTGTGTGTATACAGAGGCAGAAAGTCACTGAGCAGGTGGTTGGTGTGAAACTGTTTGGATCCCTGTGGGTTGCATTGACGGGGTGGGCTGAGACCCCAGTTCCTGCTGGAGGCTGTGCTGGGGTTGCGACCACTGAGTCGGACCACGGCTCCCTGCAGTCCACAGCCTAGCAGAGACCTTCAGGTAAGTAAGCGTGTTCCGCAGTGGGGTGATCGTGTCCTCGTCCAGGGTTCTAGCTGATCTTCAGCCCTATGGAAATATTCTCTGATTAAAAAAAAAAAAACCCTCGCTCTAGTGTGTGTGTGTGTGTGTGTGTGTGTAGAGAGAGAGAGAGAGAGAAAGAGAGAGGGAGAGCTAGCGAGCGAGCATGAGTGTGTGTATGCATGTGCCTGTGTGGCGCACTGGAGAACAAAGCATTTCTGCAAACTGAGGGCATTTTTGTGTCTTCGGGTGACCGGCTGGTGCTGACATAAAGTGTGATTCCTGAAGGTCAATAACAATTCGTGATTTACTGCTGGAAAAGGAATACCACGAAGATGAATGGTTTTCAGTTTTACTTGGAAATTGAAACTGAGTTTTAAAACATTTAAACTGACTTTCTGTGTGTTTAATTCTAGGAAGCTCTTGTAGACTGCTACAAGCCAACGGAGGTAAACAAATCACTTTTCCTTAATGCTGTGTTTGCATTGATTTTTATTAAATCAATTTGTCTACTCTTAAAGCTAAACCACGATAAACGGGGTTGATTACGTGTCTGCTGTCAGCCGTCACTATCCATGAGTGCATGCGTGTGAACAGACGAGCTTCTTTATGTCTAACCTGAAACATGCCCAGTTCAGGCAGACTTAAAACTAATGGCATGTGCTGCTTGTTTCAGATAAAGTCCAAACTTCCAAGGAAAATATGAAAGTGTTGGAAATACTTTTAATTAGAATTTTATAGATTTAGAACTGGAGAAAATAAGTGGTCTCCAAAAAGCTTGAGGAAAATGTGTATCACGAAAAAACTATTTCAGATATTTTTGAACTGAAATTAACTTATTGTCTAATTATATGTTTCTATGAACTATTTGAAGTACTCTCATGTATTCTATTCATCTTTAAGCCTTTTAAAAAAAATGAAGCCAATTCTGTCTCTCAAAAGAATTACCTTTATTGGAAGAAATAATGTTGTACCTTGGATACTTATTAAGTATATAAATATTAGTAAAAAAAAAAAAAAACAAACACCCTGGATAGGGCCAACGCTGTGGCATAGTGTGTAAAGCCGCCACCTGCAGTGTTGGCATCCCATATGGGTATCGGTTCCCATCCTGGCTGCTCCACTTCCAATCCAGCTCCCTGCTATGGCCTGAGAAAGCAGTAGAAGATGGCCCAAGTCCTTGGGCCCCTGCACCCACATGGGAGACCTGGAAGAAGCTTCTGGCTCCTGGCTTCTAATTGGCACAGCTCCAGACTTTGCAGCCATCTGGGGAGTGAACAAGCAGATGGAAAACCTCTCTCTCTCTCTCTTTCTTTCTCTCTCTCTCTCTCTCTCTTTCTCTGTCACTGCCTCTGCCTCTCTGTAATTCTGTCTTTCAAAATAAATAAATAATTTTTTTAAAAAAATCAGCAACATCCTTGGATATTAACCTGATTAGACCAAAGCAGTTAATGTAGACTTCAACGGCCAAAAGCAAAAAAGTGGAGAGTTTAAGGTTTTGATCAGCTATGCAAATATTAGCGAAAAAAGTGCCTTCCATTTGTTCCTGTGACAAATCAGAGGAATTAAAAGATCCATCAGATGTTTTGGAATCTATTTGATACATCAAAGCAATGGTGGTAAAAGACTTTGGAGTTTTGAAGTGGTAAATTATAATGGGAGAAGAAAGCGTGCTTTTATGAATGTGAAAGATTTCGGTAACTAGGAAGTTTTATGATCATTTGCTTTGAGGTTAGTTATCTGTTTGCACTCTATTTTTATAGCCTCCTGTCTGAATTGCATCTTGCAACCATAGAGATTTTTAAATTTTAATTTTAGTTATTGAAATTTACTTTACGTTGATCTAACACAGTACAACAAGTATGGTAAGGGTTATAAAGACAAACTAGTGCCCTTCCCCACGCCTCAGCTCCGCCCTAGGGATTTTATATATCATATTTGTATATGATAATATTTATATATTTTTATACAACAATACTTCTGGCTTTTTCCCTGATATTTTCTCTTGTATTCTTAAATATGCATTTACTACTTTTTTTTTCATTTAATGAGTTAAGGGTAAATACGTTAGCTCTTTCAATCGCCACATAATTCCTTTCTGTCTAACCCCTTAGTAAAGATATTTGACAATATTTTGTCAACTCAATCACCAAGGTTTATAATATTATGATGCAAACAAATAATTTTCACTGCTGAGCTGGTAATGAAATATGGCTATGGCTCCTTTCCCTCATAGCCCTTTGTTTTTCCTGGAGTTGATAACCACATTGTCTTTGAATTTGACTAGTATTTGTTGCTGTTTTTTGTTTTACCCTCTAATGTCTTTGTCAAGCATGTAATGTATTTTCTGTATACTCAAACACATCATTGCCACTGTCTGCCCTGTCCATAAATTTTCTGAAGCCTGCTCATGCGACAAGCTGGAGAAGTTAGTCTCTGAGCCTGCTGGGTAGCTGCTGTCTTGAGACTTCTGTTCACTCTTGTTCCATGTTCAGTCTTTGTTTTCTTGGATTTTATTCTGCATTTTTGTTAGAGTACCTCATCCAGTAGCTTTTGTGGAAAGGGTACACAGAGGTAAATTTTTTTGAATCCTGTACATGTGTCAGTGTATCTTGACTAATAATTTAGATGGCATAAAAATACTAAGATAAAAGCTACCACTAACACCCAATTTTAAAGTCGTTACTCTGTTATTCCATCACATCTAGTGTTAAGAAGTCTGTGCTGTTTCTGCTGTTAGACCTTTGTATGTGACTTTTCCATATCAGTTAATTGTAAGACTCCCTCTATATTTTGAAATTTTATGCATGTTGCTCTGCTGTGGGTCCTTTTTTATTCATGTCTTTCATTTTTGCAGGAATGATCTTTTCTCTTTCTAAAAATTATTTCTTATTCTTTATTTTTTTTACTTCCTTGGTGTTCCTTATTTCTGGCTCTCTGTTTAGGTGTTACATCTGTTAGACACTTATTTAGTTTATCATCTTTTAAACATTTATTCACTTATTTGAAAGGCAGAGTTACAGGAGGTAGAGGCAGAAGCAGAGAGAGGTCTTCCATCACTGGTTCACTCCCCAGATGACAACTGCCAGAGCTGTGCTGATCTGAAGCCAGGAGCCAGGAGCCTCTTCAGGGCCTCCCATGCTGGCTCAGAGGCACGAGGACTTGGGCCATCTTCCACTGCTTTCCCAGGGCATAGCAGAGAGCTGGATCCGAAGTGGAGCAGCCAGATTTGGACTGGAGCCCATATGGGATGCTTACACCACAGCACTGGCCCCTCTACTGGTTTTTGAATTGTGTACCCTTCTGTGAAATATGAAGAGAGAGCGAGCAACGTGGAGCCTTAAGATGGAGTGATCAGGTTGAAGCCGGATTTGCAGGGTATGGAGTTTGTGGGTGCGGATTCCTAAAGACAGCGGTGTGGTTGTCCCTCTGTGTCTGTGGGGGATGGGCTCCAAACATCAGTGCTCTAGTCTCTTATATAAACCAGCAAAATATCTGACGTAACCTGCATACTTCTTCCCGTTCACTTTAAGTCATCTCCAGATTGCTTTAATGCCTAACACAATGTATATGCTGTTTAAATAATAGCTTTTGCTATGTTGTTTAGCAAATAACAGTGAGAGAAAAAAAAGTCTACCTGAGTAGGATAGACACAGGCATCCTATGCCTAACCACGTAGCACTGAATGACACCCAAATGAGCAATGCTGAAGAGACTGAGAAGGTGTGACGTGGCCACAGAGGCCACGGCAGGGCGGGCTCCTTCATTCGTGTGTCCTCAGCAGTGTGTGGCTCGGCGTGTGGTGAATTCAAGTTTTGCTGCTTGAATTTTTCTTTCTGAATATCTTGATCTGTGGTTGGCTGGCCCTGTAGACGCAGAAGAAGGGGACACTGAGGGCCCGCACTCTGTGGCTTTTTCCTGGGGAAGGTTGTGTTTCTAGTGTTTGTCTACGCTCCTGCCTGACGTTGGTCTGACCTTAGCAGAGGGGAAGAGTCTGCAAACCTCACCACTGAGCTCTTGGGAACACAACTCTTTATTTATGGGTGTTGGGGAATTAATACATAAGTTAAAAACAATTAGATATTTGGAGAGTGATTTTCAATTGTTATAATGGGTGAAACAGGAGTAGTCAGAATGGGGTGGGGGTTTGGTGCTGTGGGTAAGACACCACCTGGGGCACCTGCATCCCCAGTCAGAGTGCCTGGCTCAAGTCCTGGTTCTCCTTCCAATTCCAGCTCCCTGCCCATGTGCGCCCTGGGAGGCAGCCAGTGCTGACATAACTGTTTTGAGCCCCTACCACCTATGTTTAAGACCTGGATTGAGTTCCTGGCTCCCAGCACTGGCTATTGCAGGCATGTAGAAAGTGAACCAGCTGATGGGAAATCTCTGCTTTTCAAAATAAGTGAAATACAGTTGAAAAACGAGAACCGTAGAATTGCAGTCAAGAAAAGTGATGGCTGTGCAGGTGAATGACCTATTATGTGGGGGCAGAGGTGATGATTGAGTAACCAGCGTGCTAGGTGCAGGCTTGCCATTTGCTCATTTTATTTCCTTCTTAAAAAAGATTTATTTGTCTACTTCAAAGGCAGAGTTACAGAAATAGAGGGAGAGACAGGGAGGGAGATGTTCCATCTGCTGGTCCACTCTCTAAATAGCCACAGTGGTCAGTGCTGGACCAGGACAAAACCAAGAACCTGGAACTCCTTCCAGGTCTCTCACATGGGTGGCAGGGACCCAAGCACTTGGATCTTCTGCTACTTTCCCAGGAACATTAGCAGAGAGCTGGAGCAGGGGTAGAGCAGTTGGGACTCAAACCAGCACTCACATGGAGTGCTGGTGTCCCAAGCGGGGGCTGAACCCAGCACCACAACACTAGCTCCTTCTTTTCTTTTCTTTTTCTTCTCCTCTACTCCTGGGTAGAAAATAACACTGCTTTGGTGATTTAGGTGGGAAAGTTTGCACTTGGCAGAAGTCTCTTCTGACTGTATCCCTTGGAGTCAACAGTGGAACGAATCTCCATTTTTTTCTCATTGAATGAGGCCTCTTCTCCCCCGGTTTTTGCAGTGTCTAGGGAACAGAATAGCTATAGTGGTTAACACTTGTGTGATTAAATGAAAATAGTGCAGCCTGCCCCCTGGAGCAAAAGTGCCCCCCATCTGGTTTCTGTGTGCAAGCCTGGGAGAGGAACGGCTATGATCTTCAAATATTCTTCAGGGTTCCAACTGAAGGAAGAAGGAAAACAGAGTAGATGTTCCAAATGACCATCTCTGTGTCTCTCTGTTTTCTTTTAAGATCTATTGGTTTATTTGAAGGGCAGAGTTACAAAGAGAGGGGAAAGACAGAGGTCTTCCATCTGTTGGTTCTCTCCACAAATGGCTGCAACAGCTGAGACTAGGCCAGGAGCCCGGAACTCCATTGGGTCGCCCACATGAGTGGTAGGGTCCCAAGC